AAAGCAAATTTGGGCGCTCAAGTTTCAGATATCTACAGCTCCGCACGAGCACATCAACACACCACACACAGAATATTTACAGAACATGCACTCAAGTAACCAAGTTACTCAGAGGAACTAGTTTACATTCATTAATATATATAATTATCATGGTCTCTGGCTACAGATCTTACAAAGCCGCACCCTGATTTTGATTTAACAATAATATGGACTGATGAACAAAAGAGTTTTTCAGCTTGTTCTTTCTAAAATAAGAAACTCTATGTACCTTCAGCAACTGCTGCATGGTCTGGACCACATCCCTTTGAATAACATGGTGAATAGCCTCAGAGGACTGAGGGAGGATGGAGCTCAGCAAACCTGTGGCTCTCTGGAGGACAAAGAAGAATGGTGGCATTATAGGAGGGGCGAATAGAAGAGAGAAAAAAGTAAAAGAAGAACAATAGATGAAAAAACAGGACAGCAGAGCACCTACAGACAATTGCTACGATAGAACAAAGCTAGCAGAAATGAAAAACAAAGAAAAACTTGCTAGTCAACACAAAGGCAATAGGAAATAGTATGGAAAAGGTGTAGAACAAAAAAAAGATCTGTTTCAAGTGGATTATAGAGGGTCTGCAGTAATAAATTACAGAAAGTACATTGTAATGGTAATGGTAAGAGATAGTAAGAGAGTTCTGTGAACATAAAATTATTCAAGGACCACTTAAAGGACAGGATATTAAAAGCTAGATGAGAAGAACGAGCTTAACAAAAGAGGCATACACATGCAAGCATAAGATTTAGAGAAAGGTCACACATGGATGCTTGCTTTGTCTTGGAGGCAGGATCTGTTGAATCACATATTATCACTACATATCACTACATACAGTAATTTGCAGGCCCGATTTAGTCATCCGAGGCACAAATAAAGTAATGTTGGAATGACTTGGAAAACATATTCAACAAAGGGAATATAATTAGTACATTGAACATATTAGTTGAAAGTGAAGACACAATTCATTAACTTGAGTAAATAACTATTATTTTTAAGTACTCTATTTTTACTCCTATTGATCTCATTTCAGTGAGCATTCCTTTGTCTGTCTACATTGTTTACTGCCTGTTTATACTGCTTATTCTGCATCATTTGCACTGTTGGTTGCTGTTGCTGGTTGCTGGTGGAAGAATGCTAATACTACTTGCCCCTTGCATGGGGATATGTACATACACATTGAGAGCCGATATACCAGAGTCAAATTCCTCATGTGTCCAACACCCCTGGCCAATAAAGCTGATTCTGAACAAATCTAAAATTCATTAAAGCATGAGTGACAAAAGTCCATTTTAACCAATGCAGTTTTCTTTTCAGAATCATTGCTCTCATCAGCTGTGTTCACAAGAGGCAAAGGCAGCCGTTTTCACAAAATAGGCTCTGATTAACCTACTGTGTGCTGCCAGCCTAGCACCGAATGGCAAGCAGACAAACTTAGTGACTGCTGGTGAAGAAAACGGCACTATATTTTCCTCAGGAGTTGCTGAAGACCAAATCAACACTAAGAAGCCAAAAATACTGGACTTTGATTCATCAGTGAGTCATTTTTAAAAGCTGTGCTACAGTGATAATTAGGCTGATGGGGACATGATGGATTGGAGCTTTAGGACTTTTAGACAAAAAAAAAAGAAATGACAAAAGCAGAGAATAATATTGAGAAAATAAAAAACAATGTTGACACCAGGTGACAAGGAATAAAAGGTGCCAGCTAAGAGTGAGTGAACACTAAATTAGAGAAAAGAGACAGATGTGTGAAAGTGTGTTATTCGGAGGGCACTGGCCAGGCAGTGTGAAACCGCTGTAACAGCCATTAGCACTGACAACAGCACCTGGAGCTGGAGATTTATCAACTGTAATGACACATTCACAGATCCTCTGAACATAGTGGATTGCTGCTACCACCTTTGGTTCCACACTACCAGTAAGCTCACCAATCAGTCGTTTTGTTCACGTAATTAGTTACTGTACATTAAATGAAGACATTTGCTTTACAGGATTCATACAAGTTTGAAAAACAAATGAGAAAAAGGTTTTCAGTAAGCAAATGTAAAAACCTCCAGTAAGTGATATTTTTCAAACCCTTGTTGGTCCAACACAGTAATACAGCCAGACAGAAAATGTAATGGTGGCTATGACACAATAAGGCAGCGACACACTGTATGCGATGGCCTTTTTTCAATCCTCCCGAGTACTGTAGTGCAGCGCTTAAGCAAGGTTCACTCACAGTTATGACTCCTCCATCACTGTCCCTCAAAAAGCCCAGACAGCAGTCGCACAGTGAAACAGCATGCTCCTACAAAAAAACATGGACAGAAATGTGACCGAGCCAAGCATGTCGCTTCTGAATAGGTGACATCACACATCATGTTGCCCCAGCTCCAGTCCTTTCATTAGCATTTTTCTTTTACAACATACAGTACTGTCATCTGTTAAATTTCAAAGGTGTGACTTTTCTGTCACAATTTTATAATTTGTCCCCAACAATGAATCTCTGTAATTCCAACCAAACCAGTGGTCAAGTTGCATTGTGGGTAATGTATGCAGCGGTTCTTGACAAAAAATGGGATGAAAAACACAATATATCTGGTTTTGCTGCATCAAAACTGATCCTCTTTTAACTTGTGCATTGTGAGTCTGTTATCTGAGACAATGTCACTAGAGTTGGAGGTGGAGAACGTCTTTTAAAATAACTAGAGATAAAGCAAAAATCATTTTTTCACTTACATTTATAACTGAAACTCCACACTAGTGAAAATATTTTCAGTGTCATATACCACGTATCTTACCTGGATGACTGAAGAGGTGATAGTTGAAAGGTTGATCATCAAGCCAAGCAGAGGGTACAGGATCTCTTTGTATTCATATGCACTGCAATTTCTCTACAATAACAGCCAACAAATTCTACACTGAATAAAATGCACACAGTGGGCACAAACACCAGAGATATTTGTACTTTTCTAAACAAGGGACCAATACTAACAGTGGCAACCAGGAAGGCCTTCCAACATTCTAGATCATGAGCAAGATTGTGGAGGATGACATCATCTCGAGCCAGACAGCCAATAGCGGATATCAGTGATGGAAGCACATGCTGATTGGTCTTGCTGCTATTCCTCTGAAAGACGAGAAACAGATATCTGTCTACACACACACACACGCATTCTGTATAGAGAGCTTAAATTTTGTGTCTTCATATCTTACCAGTATTGTTGTAAATGGCACAATGACAGAGTCAGTCAACACATTCCTTAACTGAATACAAAATCTGTTAAAAAAAAAAGAAGAAGAAGAAGAAAGACAGAAAGAAAAGACATTTCTACAGTACTGTAATGTATATGCCTACTATTAAACCAGTCACTGTCACAATGGGCATAAATGGGCAGTGACATCAAGTTGACCCTTAAGCTTAATATCTTCGAAGCACCACATGACACAAGTAAGCAAATCAACAAACCTGTCAACTTTAAAATATTTTATGTTCTATGATTATCTTGTTCACTGTTTAGTATTGTTTTGTTTGTTTTAGTATTGTTTTAGTTGATAGATATGTCTATACTGTGCAGCACTTTGGGCCATTCTGAGTTGTAAAGTGCTATATAAATGATGTTTATTATTAGTATTAGTATTATTATTATTATTCAAATAGAGATTCTTGCTCATCCACATCAAAGTCAGTAAATAGCAGGTGGATTTGTTGTGACATCTACACAGCACCATCCAGAGGCTTTAGATTATGACTAAAAACAATAGCTAAATGTCCTCTACGCCATGTAATCATAGTGTTTATAGTACAGTATACAGTAGAGGGGGGTGTGTGCTAATCTGTACACATTCTGTCAGTGTATTAATAGGAGAAATTTGGACAATTTTTATTCCATAACAAAAAATATCCATGAAAGACAAACACTGACATGGCTGGGATTCTACGATAAAGAGGAAACCTCTGTAGGACACACCATATTTTTGGTGAGTTAAGCTCTTTGAGCTATAGACAGGGAAAATTGATTTCCTCATTTCACTGCTTGGCACCTTGACTTATTTCCTGCTGTGTTAGAGAGCTCAAGTTGTCCTTTCATGTCAATTTTCATGAGACACCAGAGAGAGAAAAGGATTGGGAAGGGCCTTTAGCCTTCATGTGATATTAACACTTGGATAGCACATGTGGATTTATGAAATATGCCACACTTCCTGTTTCTTAGGGGACTTCTCCTGACCTGAGTGGATTGTAAAGTGCTTTTAATACATATGGATGTGATGTAACATATGGGAAGATCATTTTACTGAGTGTCCGCAAATATGCATTTCCTCATTCAAAAAAGAAATGAAGAATTTTGATGGTGTGAGAAGGATAACTTTTGGCTTTGTATAAATAATACTTGTTTTCTGCTGCAAAGTTTCCCAGAATGGTGCATGCTGTGTTCTCCTGCTGCTGCTTGGGCTTTGAGATGCACACCATGAGGTTCCTCACTAACCTTTAGATCCAGATTAAGAGTAGAGATATGGATAAAGAAAGAGAGGCGGAAAGTGGGAGACAAAGAAAGAGACATAAAAAGAAAATGAATCAAATATTTTAGGAAATAACTTGAACTTAATGAATATTCCCACAACATCAGTGAATATTTGTTAACCAGATAATAACGGTGTCCACCTATAGACCAATAAGTGTTAATACTATTCATTATACCATTCTCAAACAGAATGGCAATCACAAACATATGACCAAGGGATGATCTGAAGTCACTCAAATGATTTCATTATGGGGGACAAAAATGTGAAATACAAAATTCTTTCAGTATCTTCACAGAATGGGAGATGATAAAAGAAAAAGTATTCTAAATAATTTGGTTAATAACCCATACAATAAGCCTACCATCTGTGTCTACTGTACAACATATATACCTCACAGTCTTCATATTTTGTGTTGTAGCTTTAACTTTAAAATGAAGAAATTTGATATTTTACCCTACACCTAATGACTCATAATGACAAAGTGAAAACATGTTTTTGGAATGTTTTGAAAATGTATAAAAATCTAAAACTAAAAACTCTACTCAGACCCTTTCAAGGATTTCAAATTGCGGTCAAGTGCATCGTGATTGGTTTAACCTTTCTTGAGATGTGTCTAGAACTTAAAAGTCCACCTGTGGCAAAATTACTGAACATCATGAAAACACACACACACATCTGTATGTATAAGGTCCCACAGTTCGTCTAACATGCAAGGGCAAAAATCAAACCATGAAGTCTAAGAAACTGTCAGTAAAACCTCCATGACAAATCTGTTGTGAGGCATAGATCAGGGCAGAATATAAAAACCATTTCTAAAGCTTTGTGTGTTCCCAGGAGTCAGAATAGTAGAATAAATTGCCCAGATCCCTGGTGTGCAAAGCTTGTAAAGACTTAGCCAAGAAAAGTCGAAGCCATAATTGCTGCCAAAGGGGCTGCTACAAAATACTGAACTAATGGTCTGAATGCTTTTGTAAATGAGTGATTTCACTTTTTGCTTTTTAACAAATTTACTGTGAATTCTAAAAACATTTTTCACTTTGTCATTATGGATTTATGACTGCAGACTGATGGATAAAAATTGCATTCTTATCTATTAACTTAATCACTGGAGCGTAAGTGTCTGAATACTTTCTGAAACCACTGTAATTCTGTCCCTGCTACTGTATGTACCTGGGTATGGAGGAGAAGAAAGGCATTTTTACTCCAGCTCTGTTATTGCTCTCATTAGTTTTCATCAATTGACAAGTTAAAGAAATGTCTTACTTGTGCACCTCCAGGTTCTCAATGGCCAAACGTCTGGCATACGGCATATGTGAGTATAAACATAGTAATGCCAAGCATTCTTTCTGTACTGCAACATGCTCTGAGCTTACTAAGTCCACAATGGACTGTCTGAAGACTGGGCATGTCATCAGTATCTTTTGATTTTCATCTGGAAGCAAAAGAAATGTACAAAGATTTATTTCATTGGTTAACAAGAAACAACAACCTGTCAACATGATTACATGGACACTAAGTTGCTGTACTTGTATGGATAATGATTTATGCTTTGTTAGTCAAATAGTACCAACATACACATATTTTAAATAGCTGTAAAAGAAAATTATCACAGTTGGCACAGTCAGCTGAGACCCATTTAGTCTGTGCTTGACAAGACAGAAAGCTTAAGCATCAAATTGACATATTCTGTGCCGTAATAATACAATCATAGAAGATTATATTAGTATTTAGATGATTTAATCTTTCCTAGTGCATCAGTGAGATCAAAGTACCACACAGACAAAGACAGAAGACATACCATTTCCACTACAAATAACTGTCCATAACTTCAGGACAGACACACACAACCCCTGGCAGTCTGGATCCTTTGTTTTCTGCAACAGGCAACTGTGGAGAAAATAAATTCAGTGATACTAGCTCAGTTCTCTTCTAACTGACATTATATAAGTAATATTGAATATTTCTGTCACATTATGAATATGATTTATAACACCAGGCAAGAAGAAATTCAACATAACTGCAAGATGTCAAATAATGTCATGTGGATGTTATATAATCTTGCTGGACTTAATCAAAAATTAATCAATTAAGAAGTTTATTTTTCAGCTATGTAAAAAAAAAAAAACTTTTTTATTTAACTTTATTTTTTGTTCCACTTTGAGGCACTCTAGACCTTTTTCCACTTTTGTCTTTAACTTGACGGGGACACAGAGAGTACTTCTTCAGGCCTCATTCAGGTTATCTGACTTGCAGCACTATCTTTACTGGCTATTTTCATTTATCTCACACTGTAATTTCTTTGCACTTCCCAGACACTGCGTTAATAATGACCCTGCTAACACTACACAATATGGACAAGATATGACAAGATAATAACAACCTTACTGATCTGACATGAGGTAGTCATTATTTGTATCTTGCACAAAACACACCCTCTTTCTGGGACAAATCACAGGACCTTTCTCATCTCAGTCTCAAGTGTTATCATCTTTTCCTCTTTGAGCTATCATACAATCCAAGAGAGTGTGTGAGAGAGAGAGTGAGAGAGCAGAGAATGATTACTCTTGTTTAGGCCATCAGTCTCTTTATGTCCCTATATCTGAGTCCATCTGTCAAAGCTGCACTGAGGGTTGACAGCTACATCTCCCTCTGGTCTCCTTACCTCTTCACCGTGTCATTGCTGCTGATGACACTAAAGCCATTGTTCAGTCTGAAAAGGGTCTGGCCTGTACCTGATGGAAGAGAAGAGTATATAGAGTAAGAATCAGTAGATAGTGTCAGTGTTCTGGAGAAGCACAACACCTCTCTCTTTTAATTTAGCTTGCCTTGCTCAGTGGTTTACAGTCAAGGGCACAAGAGAAAATAAATAACATATATCGAGAGAGCAAGGTACATTGAGTAATGGTCTATTCTCAACTAATAATGAGTCAGAGTATGAAGAAGGAAGAGCAGGGACAAAGCATGTAATGTCAGCCCTGCAGAGATCCTTTCAGTTGTGAGTTATGTAAGTTTTGCCCTTTTCCACTGAATGGCTGTATGAGACAGGCATTATATCAGTTGACAGTACACTTTTATTCTAAATGAAATAAAAATAGAGATTGGATAAAAAATGTTTGCCATTCTAAAGAGGACAGCGTGAACAAATATGGTCTATTACAACCAATGACACAAGTTAAAACAAAAATAGAGAGTTAGCATCACACAATAATTTGTTTGTTTTTGTTGCAACATATTTACCAGCCTTGGCTATATGGTCAAAGTACCTAGTTATATATGGCCTGTGTGATAGTAACAAGGGAGTGGAGCACTACTTCACTACCGCTTCTTTTTTAGTTGAAATGTGCTGAAGCTGCTGGAGTGCAGGATTTGTTTTCTCCTGCTTTTGGTAGTACTTTTATGAACAGTTGTAGTGTCTTTTTCAATTACGTTTTATGAGCTCTTTCCCCCTGATTAGGGACAATTCTGGGTCCCCGAACAACAGTTCACTCTTGTTCTGAAATATATCAGAACCAGAATCAGAAGTACAAGAAATTTAATGTGATCCAGTCTCAACAGAAGGCATAATAACTAAAATTGCAATAATGAAGAAATAAACATAAGAGGTGAACACTGAATTATTAAGATTCTGTGCAGGGGCAATGGGCTGTGCGCATATTAACACATTAAAAACCAGTGTGCAAAGAAGCCGCATATAAATAAGAGAAGCTGCATATAATCAAGAAGCTGTAAAAAGAAAACAGCATATGAATAAATTTAAATGTTTATATAGAGAGTGCAAATAGAAGCTGAGCATTAATATTAAAGTATGTTTCTCTGTGCTAGATCCAAGGTGTATACAGATGTTTTCTACAGCTTTCTGTGTATTCAGCTCCAGATTATTTTTTCCATGGCATAGCACTAAGCAATCAACCTCTTTCCTTGTCACCATGCTCATCACCAGTACTTATAAGACCGATTGATGTGGTGTCATCTGCAAACTTATAAACATCAATAGTCCCAGAAGGGACCTCAGGCTAGGCTGTCATAGCTAATGAACAGGAACACCATTCACTAGCTACCTACTCTAAATTGGACAGGTGTCACAATTTTATATGTATTATTTATGATTTATTGTAGAAGTATTCACTCAGTAGCCGGGCTTAAAATATCCCACTCAGCAATTCAGCAACCAAATTGCATCAGTGTTTCTAGGCCATGGGGATGTCTAATTCTGTTAAATAAGATGATAAGAAAGACATCACAAATCAAATCACACTAGTGCTGAAGGTTTCACACATCACCAGGCATTGTGAAATACTGTAGCAGACAACTTTCTAGGTAACTGTTTCCCTAAGTGTAATTTTATGGTGTTATATCATGTAACATACTGTACATCTATAGTATATTACACAAAATAAATGAATATACTGAATAAACTGTATATCTGTACAGATGAGGCAGCACTGAGGTTTTGCTCTTTCAGTGTGACTTTATAGTCTATAGTGTAGATTTTCTCACTGTGACAAGCAAACAGAGAAGAAAGAGAAATCTTTGACTGATTCTTGTCTTCTACTGTGGCAGAGCAAAAAGGCCAAAAACATTCGTTTTGCATCCCTGCTCCACCTGATGCCATACCCTAACATATTCACTGTTAGTAGGTAAGTAACTCTATTAACTCTTTTTCTCCTTAAAGTCATCTTAACCTTCCTGGCCTGAAGGGTGCCCTTTTGCTATTACTTTAGCCATAAAACCGGGAAAAAGTGAACCAAGTAAGCAGGTTACTGAGGGAAAAGTAGGCACGAAGACATGAGAGGAGAAAGATAACTGGGCAAAGACTCTCTCAGAAAACCACTCACAGTCAGTAACTGCTCGTGACAAAATCTCCAATCCTTCACAATAGTCGAAGGGCATCTGACTGGGTCGTGATAGCTTCTCCAACAGATGGGGCACTGTTGTGGCCTTCCCTTCTCCCTTGTCAAATTCTTCTCTTGCATTCATCTCCTGACGCTCTCTGTTCTCTTCCAAGTCTACCTGGATCAGGTATTCTGCATGGAGAAAACAAAGAAGATAAAAGATGGAAGCACAGAAAAAAAAGACTGACCTGACAGAAAATTATTCCATAGCACTAATTATAATTGCAGTGTCACAGAAAAGAATTAACTGAAAGTCTCCAATAGTGCAACAGCCATCCTGAGATGACCACACCATCGGCCCACATGTACTCAGATAGACGTGGAGCTGTATGACACATAGGTATATATTTGAAATGTAATGCCACACGGATATGACAGGAGCCTACACATGACAATGTGACAGTAACAAACTAAGGAAGGTCAGGTTCTAATCAAACATTTAGCAAAAAAGTAAAGAGAAACTTTACAGAATTTGTGTGGTATTTTCAAATAAAATACTATAGTGCTAAATATAATTACCCTGGGATGAAAACAAAATGTCTTTTCTTGCTGTAGACTCGTGACACAGTCACACCAAATTGAGTTTCCATTCACATTCACTTAGTCACCAAATGAACCATCTCCTTCACTACACTCCAGAGTTCAGTCTTGCAAAATCTCAAGGTTCTTCACTGTCCACTGGTTTAAAAGAGCAGGTGGGAATGACCTCTTATTCAAGAAATACTGTTTGTTTAAATTCCTTTTATTTTCACCACAAGGCAAATAATAATACAAGCAGCAGAGAAGGAGAGATGCTGCCTGGTTACAGTGAGTTCCAGGACAGTGACAGTGGTTGATGACAGTTAAATGTCTGATAAAACACTGTTTAATGTACAGCTGATGTTAACCTTTAAGCCATGCTACCTCTAGCAAATTATTTTTACAGTACATCCCTGTTGCGTTTCTTGCAACTATGTCAACTGCTCCCTTTAAAAAAAAAACTTAATTTCAAGCGGCTTGAAACACTGTATACTTTCTAAATGTGAGCAGTCAACAGTGTTGTATGTCGTTATGAAAACAGAAGTATCAGCATTTTTGTTCTCCTACCTAGAGAATTAGGGTGGTGGTGCAGTGCTTAGCCCTGTCGCCTCACAGTGACAAGGTTACAGAGTTGAACCTACAGAAGCAGCCGACCGTTCTCCCGATACCTGCAAAGGATTTTCTCTGGGTTTTCCAACTTGCCCCCACATCCCAAAGGCATGCAGGTTCGGTTGGTAACTATAAATTGCCTGTAGGTGTTAGTTTAAATGGTTGTCTGTCTGTATGTTTCAGCCCTGTGACAGGGTGGCGACCTGTCCAGTGTGTACCCTGCCTCTCATCCAGTGTCCACTCCAGCCCTCCCCCATGACCCTCTACAGGAAAAGCACCACAGATAATGGATGGATGCATCTAGTGCAGCAAGAAAAATGTGTGTCTTGCGAGTTGATTATGGTGACATGATACATGGCCAGTGAGGATAACTCTGACAAAAGGACTAAATTACGGTGCATTAAAGTGTTCCTAAACTAACCCCTGTAAAAACATTGTCTGTACCTTTTGCCAACTTCTGCCTCCCAGGCTCAATTTCCATTATCTTTTCAAAGCAGTTTCTGGCCTGAAAAAGAGGACAAATTAGTGATTCACCGAAATGAAAATTCTGGGCCGAAACCGAAACCGAAAATTTAGGATGCACTTGGCTGAAAACCGAAACGAAAACGAAAATGGCTTCTTTTAAAAACTTCAAATTTTTAAAACACGCTTACTCTATAATTGTGTGTGTGTGTGTGTGTGTGTGTGTGTGTGTATATATAT